ATACGAGAATTTATTAAAGCAAAATGTGCTTGAAAAACTCTTTAATTTTATACTCATTTATTATTATTTTTCTAATAGTTCAAAAAATTAAAACTCCATTTCTAATTTTGATATTATTAATTAAGAAATAAATAATTACACATATTTTTAATAATGAGAATGTATATAATTATTTTCATCAATCACAATCTTTTAATTTTTAAAAATAATAACATTTTTTATATTTATTTTACTAAATATAGTATAAATTATTATTACAAATTCTTTTATTAATTAACAACAATATAAAACTAACACGTCCTTTGTCCATATTGTTCCCGTGACAGCACCAATCCGATCGTACGGCTCCGGACGTAAGCAAAATATCGGCTTTTTGACTTTTTAATTAAATCATTATTTAGACGTAAAAAACAACCAATCACGTAAGCTATGCTTTCCTAAAAAAATCATTAAAAAATTGATATTTTATATGAAGTTGGTTAAAATTGATATTTATGACGTCAAATATACATTTGATTAAATAAACAATTAAATTACAATTTTAGTTAGTTAATTTTATTAAATAAAGTATTTATTTATTCCTACTCGCCCACCACTACTGAATTCAACAATTTATGTCTCAAAAGAATAGGATGGAGGTGGATTACTCTGTCATAGGCTCGCGATTTTCCATCAAATTACACTTGGCCCAAAAATTCTGGCCCAATTCAAGTCGGCCTTATTTATAGGGTTTCAAAATGATCCCCAATTTCTGACCCAATTCATCAAGACGGCAAACGTTGAGCACAGAGCGAAAGAGACGAACTGATTGATTAGTCTGATTAGTTGAAAGACGGAGAAAGCAGGCTCACAGATCAGAACTGAACCAACTCTTCTTCCTGCTCCAGCAAAAATTCTCCATAATTAGGGTTAGGGTTTTCAATTTGGAAGCGACAAATGTCTGCGCACGAATCACCATACAACGCCAATGGTGAAGACGATAAGTCCTCCCAACAGAAGGTTCGTTTCTTGCCGTACTTGTTTACTGAGAGCAGTTCTTTCGCCTTTTCCATTTCTTTTTTTATGCTTTTGTTTCATTTTTTTCAACTGATTGTATCCCTTTTGAATAATTATACTCGTTCTTGATTTATTTCAAAAAAAAAATTGTACTCCTTCTTGACGATTTTATCTAATATGGATGTTCTCTAGCATGGTTTTGATGTTTCCTTTTTTTTTTTAAAAAACTTGAAGTCCTCAACTGTATCTCCTTATCTGTTAATTGTCGTTCTATTGATGGTTTTTATACGCATATTTTTTGAGAACAAGAGCTGAGAAATTTGCTTTCGGCAGCTTAAGGAAAGTGAAGAAACATGCTCTCCTGGTTCTTTATTTGCATTTTTTAGATTCAAAAAGGGGGAAAAGTAGTAAATCATCTAACATTTTGCTCATCATCTTTCATCACCCACCCCTGGAGCCATAAAAGAGAATTTCTGCAAGTGTGGGTTAACTCTTGGAATTGTGAAAAGTTAAAACAATCTCAATTAGTGCTATAGGGGATGCATCAGGGACTGGAAAAATATTTTGTCAATTTGATATTGAGAACTATACAATTTTTACTTTAAAAAGTAGGCCTGTGTTTCTGTTTTTACGTAAACTTGCCACTTCACTTATTACTGTCCTTGTTGGTGTTTGTTCTGAATTAAAGTTTTTGTTTTTGTTTTTTTTTTCCGACTTAATGGCTGACTATATTCAAATTCACCAGCAAAATTCTCATGGCTGGACTCGTGAGAGACCTGGGACTCGAGAGCGAGGTCGAGAGAGGGAAAGGGACCGAGACCGCCATTTTAGGGACCACAAAGCCAGGGGCTTGAGAGATCATGGAGGCAGGGGCAAGTATGATAACTATAGCTCACGGAAACGAGATTACTTCAGGTTATATGCTCATAGCTGTCACTCATTTCTTCTTTTCCACTAGTTGTCTAATGATATAAGGTTCATCTTCCATGTGTTTCTTGGGTTTGTAAAAGAATTTGATCCTCGGTCGAACTTTTAATGGATAAATATAGGAAATGTCCATTTTTATGATATATTTCTTGTAAAAAAGATCTGATTTAGTGATTTGTTTGGGAAGATCTATAAGCCCTTTGTAGGTATAGAGATTGTTTGACTTTATTTCGGGGGATGTGTAAAGCATATACTTCTATCTTTTTCATTTTAGTAATTTTGGCTTATCTATTGTAGGAAATGCGAATACAGTCGAGATAAAGAAAAGCAGCATAGACACAGATCACGTTCTCGCTCCAGGGATAGATTTGGGAATCGATCCATATCACCCTCGCATTCTCCAAGAAGGTATATATTAGCATAATGATGATAACATGCCGAAGCTGTTCACTGAAAAGCGTGCATCTCTTTTCATGGGATGAGGCTGAAAACACTCATGGCTATTGAGGTTGTATTTGAGTTTGTCAGTTCATCATGCCAAACACTGTAAACTTGTGGCATTTCGAGATTGTTATAAGAATTGACAGAGATCTGAATCTCGGCAGTGAGCTTATGAATTAGAGAATGATGATGTTACATGTACTTTGATTAATAGCTATATGAATTTATTATTCTTTTGTTGGAAATGACTTTGTTTACAGCAAGCGGAGAAGTGGTTTTGACATGGCTCCACCAGTTGGAGCCATTCTGCCTGGTGCTGCTGTTCCAGGTTGGCATCTTGCCTCTTCTCTATTAGTGTACTTTTATCCCTATAAGCTATGCATTGCACCTACTTTTCTAAAAATCTAGGAATATTTAGCATTTTGTCTGCAATCTTTTTGCCATTTGTTTGTCCAGAGTTTTGAAAGTATTTCACATGAATTTACATCTCAAGTTTATCTAATGAGTTACTATGGAAACTGAGAACCATTGGTGTTGTTTGGCTGTTGTGTGTGGTTCTTGTTTATGTTTTGCGTTATTGGTTGGGTAAAGAGGCAGTGTAAGGTCGCATATCCTACTGTTCTATCCACTGGCGTGCTTGCGGTAGATTTATGTCCGAGGCCGAACCAATGCGCGATTAGCTGGATCTTGTTGTTCACCTTCAAGAAGAAACAGTTGCCTTTTGCTAGACTTACAAAAAATTGCCCTGCATCTGCAGTGATGGAATACATATCATACTTTAGTAATTGAATAATTTCTTAGGTATGAATAGGCTTCTCTTTATGGCTTTATGATGAATATAGATGGTTATAGGTTTCTATTATGTGTTATTTCCCCATTCTTATTAGGATTATATTAAACCTTATAGCAAATCTCTTTTCATTGACCTTTTTTCTTATCTGACAGGGCAATTGCCTGCTGTTCCTCAAACAGTACCAGGAGTTGCACAAAATATGTTGCCTTTTGGAACAGCCCAGGTCCATGCTCCTCATAGTGGTTACTTTAATTAAATGCATGCTTGCCCTGGCCTGCCTAGTTATGTATTGTTGAACTTTTCATATAAAACAGGTGGGAGCTCTTCCCCTGATGCCAGCCCAATCAATGACTCAGCAGGTGGATAATTACTGCTTGATTTTTGTTGTTTATATTATGCTCATAAAGAATCATTAATTTTTCTTTTTGGGTTGATTCTATTTATAGGCAACAAGGCATGCTCGTAGGGTATACGTCGGAGGTCTACCCCCCATGGCAAATGAGCAGGTTTTTCTTCCTGCTACAATTTCTTGTTTACTAGCTTGAAAGAATGATGAAATTTCCATTCCTATGGTCTTGTTAGTTGGATAGTTTTTAATCCAGCTCTAGATTGTGATTTATTATTTTTTGCAATTTGCTCTCCTGTGATACTGTTATTATTTTGATTTATAACTTTCATTTTCATTTTTCTTTAACCATTTATGGCTTTTCTATTGTAGGCTTTTCGACATGGGTTTTATGCCTAAGATTTTTTTTCTTAGATTTAGATAATGTTTGGGAGTTTAAGGAAGAAAGTAAAGTAGAAGAAAACATATTAAAGAGGATATAATCAACCATGTTTGAGAGTTAAATATGATAAAGAAGGTAAAGGGAAGTTTTTAACCACATCTTGTTTGGTTGAAGGAGGAAAGTAAGGTAGGGATTTGCTAACCATGAGGATCCTTTAACAGTAAAAGATATATTGTTAATTATAATAAAGTAAGCACTTGACTATGTTCATAGCTTAGTGAGAGAGTTTCATCTCTGTTTTTCCTTTGTTGATAGTTTTACTTTTTCGGCATGCTGGTTTAGCCATGCTTTTTGTCACCAAATTCTTGATGATGGAAACTTGGATATTGTTGTAAAAGTGAAGCTGGAGACATTCTACATCTACAAATCTTGGGTCCACGTGCTTAGAGGTGAAAATGTAACCCGTTTCATCATGCTGGGCAGGAAAAAGATAATGGTGCACAGCAATACCAAAGATATGGGACATAATTCTAGGATTTATTTTATGCTTTCTTAATTTTTTTGTAAGTGGTTTCCTATTCTTAATAATATAAAACTAATATTTATTTTTTGAGATAAATTCTTTGTTATGTCCTATTTGGAAAAGTTTACTTAGGAAGCTATATAATCTCTCTTATGTGACATCAATGCTTTAGTACAAATAGTCTGAGAATTTCTTTTGATATTGTAGTTGTGTGAAACAATCAAACCATAAATTTGGTAATCCATCTTTTATCGAACCTTGCTTGCTTATTGTTTTCTATTTTTGTTGTTGTAGGAGGATATCTTATCCTCATATTATGTAGTCTCTTATTCTTGCTCTTTCTTTTTAATAATATTTCTTTTATAAAAACATTGTTCTTGTTTTCTGAAATAATTTCAAGGTACTTTTTCTGGTACTTTTGAAACAGGCAATTGCAACATTTTTTAGCTGTGTTATGGCTGCAATTGGAGGAAATTCGGCTGGTCCTGGTAATCCAACATGTTTTTGTCTTTCACTCTTTGGCATAAGTATTCGCTTTTCCCATTTGATTGTGGTTCATAATTCTATATGTGGACTTGTAGGTGATGCAGTAGTTAATGTGTACATTAATCATGAGAAGAAATTTGCATTTGTTGAGATGAGAACTGTTGAAGAAGCTAGTAATGCAATGGCATTAGATGGGATTATGTTTGAGGTATGTCCATTTTTTAAGTTGGCGAGTAAGTCTTACATACAATTCCTATTTTCTAAGTGCTTGCAATGTTTCCTCTCATTAATTCATATGTATTCAGCCTGGAATGAAAAAAAAATAAAGTGAAGAAACTGGGGAAAATATTTAGAGAATTCAACGTGGCATTTACAAAATATATATCATTATATTTGTCAGTTTTTAGTTTGATGTTCTTTTGATCTTGGTAGGGTGTTGCAGTAAGGGTCCGGCGTCCTACAGATTACAATCCAGCATTAGCTGCAGCCCTTGGCCCAAGCCAACCAAGTCCTCACCTTAATTTAGCTGCTGTTGGAATCACCCCCGGGTATGTCGGCATTAGTGTAAAGTGATTCTGTTCATCCTTGATCATATTAACATCAATAGTCCAATTAGCGCTTGGATGAATATGGCTAATAAATGGTGTTTGTATGTTGAATAAGCTATTGAATGTGGCTGCAGACTGCAGTTCATTTTCATATGGTTATGGAGCTTTATTGTTGCAATGAAGTCAAGGAAGAAGATTTCCTTTATCCCTCTTTCTATTTTTTGGGTTACCTGGAAAGAGAGAAGTAGAAGATCCTTCACAATTCCACATCTTTTTTATGAGATTAGAGGTCACTGGCTTAGAACCCTTCGCATTTTGCTCAAAGGGGATCCTTGTGTGATGGAACTGAAGTTTTGAATTTTTTTCATATAATCTCCATTAGGAGAATGTAAATTCTGCTTTTCTTTCCTCTCTTCTTTTAATTGGGTCTGCACCCCCTTTGTGTCTCTTACATATCACCTTTTTTTTTCTCTCCCAAAAAATAAAAAAGGTTGGGCAGAGTCTTTCTTTCGTATCAAAATATTGACATTAGGAGGTAAGAGTGATGGAAGATTGCTTGGGCCGCCAACTTTACTTGATAAATGAATTATGGTGCAATATATTAGTAAGGTCTTTAGTGATTGTTTATGTACTGGTTGTATAAATTATTTAATCCTGGGTAGATGATTTGTATTGTAATTTGCAACAGTTCTAGTTACTCTAGCATATACTCTATTGTGTTTCTCATCCCTGCTCATTGTTAAGTCATGCAACAAACTTGCTTCTGTAGCACCACTCTTCTTTTTTTTTTCTTCTTTCTACTCCAAAAAGCCATTTCGCAATTTTTGCATGTATAAATTAGTTTGATTTAGCATCATCTATTTCTTCGTCCATTACTTTATATATGTGTGTATATATATATCTACATTTTCCTAATTAAGCTCCCTAAATTATAAGGGTTGGCAAGAATATGTGCTCATTGTTAAGTCATGCAACAAACTTGCTTCTGTAGCACCACTCTTCTTTTTTTTTTCTTCTTTCTACTCCAAAAAGCCATTTCGCAATTTTTGCATGTATAAATTAGTTTGATTTAGCATCATCTATTTCTTCGTCCATTACTTTTTATATGTGTGTATATATATATCTACATTTTCCTAATTAAGCTCCCTAAATTATAAGGGTTGGCAAGAATATGTGCTTGTTTTGAGTGCCTTTGCTGATTAGCTATCAATAACATTTAATGGTCTTCTACTCCTTGGAGAATATCTATACATGATTTCAGCTTGGTCTTCTGGGTAATACCTTTATTAATTTTGTCATGATCATTGACTTCGCAAATTATTGTGGTTTCTCATTATTTGATGGTCTTTCACAATCTGCTTCCTCAACTCAATCCACAAATTATTGCTTGTGTTTATCATGGTGGTTTCATGCTTGTGCTTTTCTTTTTTGTCATGGTCAATTTTCTTGAAAAATATGTCACTTTATTTACCATTTGATCATGCCAGAGCAATTGCTGGAGCAGAAGGACCTGACCGAATCTTTGTGGGTGGATTGCCATATTACTTTACTGAAGCACAAATAAGAGAGTTACTAGAATCTTTTGGGTATGAGCTTAGCTTTGGCCTTTCTGCCCCTTTCTCATTGTCATTTTAAACATGGACCTCTATGAACCCTCCATATTTTGTAAAATAATTCTATTAAGCTAATCCTAATACTCAAATGCTTCTCACCTGATCTGTTGCAGCCCTCTCCGTGGCTTTGACCTTGTTAAGGATAAAGATACAGGGAATTCTAAAGGATATGGTTTTTGTGTTTATAAGGTAAGTCAATTCAATCCTTAAAAAGCTTATAGTTTGGTTTAATAAGGTCTAAAAATTGTTTATTGTTTTGTTCTGGTTTGATCTTTGAGCCAAGTCAAGCCACGGTACCGGTGTATATCCGTGCATATAAAGAATAATTTAGAGGTCTTAGATGATTTTGATTAGCTGGTGAACTAAATGTGCAAGATATCTCAGGATCCAGCAGTGATAGATGTTGCATGTGCTGCGCTTAACGGGTTGAAAATGGGTGATAAGACACTAACTGTTCGTCGTGCAACCATAAGGTTGGTGTTATACAAGGTTCTGAATTAGTGCTGTGCTTCTGATAGCAGCTATACCTTCCATTTCTTTTTTCTTCATGCTATGTCTCCTTTTTCAAATCTTCTCAAATCTTCTAGTTTGATACTGAGTTTTTAGATGGAGGTATTTTAACTGTTGGTGTACTATTTTTTCTTTTGAAATAAAAGAGAAATATTATTGTGACCAATAGTACAAAGGGGGTACCGCCCGTATACAAAATAGATTTACATCTCAGTTAAGTGGTCGATGACCATTCCAATATCATTCCAATCATTCATGTCATGATCCAATAATGTGGAACCAAAAGTATTAACCCATCTATCTCTAATTTTTACGAAGTTAATTTCTATGTTTTCAAAAACTCTCCTATTTTTTTCCTTCCACACAATCTAAAAAATGTTAAGTGGTAACTGTTGGTATACTATTGGGTGGTTAAAACACACAGAAGATAAACAAACAGGGCCAAGTGACTTTTGACACAATTATAAATGGATTTGGAAGCTGAGGAAATTTATTTTCATATTATGCAAGTATGGTTGGATGAATATCCTGTTGGCTGGATGCCCAGTTGGCTTCTTCGTTTTAACTCAGTTAATGCAAAATGATAAAATTTGTCTATGTCCTTTCTATTTTATTCAATCTGATTCAATTTTATTTCTATATGCACATTGTACATTTTTTTTTAACAAAAATTGATGAATAACCTACTGGGGAATATAAAATTACAAAATACAGTAGGCTTGTTATGTTCATTCCAATTCAATTATCTTGTTTTGCTGCTTTAATGGATTTGAGAATAAAGACGGGAAAGATGTAAATCTGGCTAATGTATACTGTGGTTGCAGCATATGTACTAAAAATTTTTGTTATGGTGTGTAGGTTTCAAGTTCTTGCATCATTTTGCTATTTTTCCTTTGATATTTTTTTTAAATAATTTTTCCTTCAATATTTTTAACCGCACGTCATCATGACACATACTCATCACATTACGTGTTTTTGAGTAGTGTAACTTTGTATAATCCTTGAAGCCTTCCTGATGTGAAAATATTACCGAACAGCACTGGGCAGTCCAAGTCAGAACAGGAAAATATATTAGCTCAGGCACAGCAGCATATTTCAATGCAGGTAAAGCCAAACTTCATGCCTCTTGTTTGTTTATCTTCTGGGTTATTTATCTCTGGTGATGTATGTGTTCAAAGCCCCACTTTCTAGTTCTTGACGTGGATATGCATTCTGGTTCCAGAAGATGGCCTTGCAAGTTGGAGGTTTTAGTCTCTCTGGAGTCGAAACTTCACCTTCAGTATTTGCAGAAGCTCCTACTAAAGTTTTGTGCTTAACTGAGGTATATTTTTGCATCTATTTGCTGTTTTTTGCCATATACCTTTTTACTTTAGGTCACCAATTTCCTTTTGAATATTCTCGCACAATTAGATTACCCTCCATTTGGATCATGGATAGAGTGAGGTAAAGAAAATCATTAAAATGATTAGGAAGGCTTATTTCTTCATATCATATAATCCTATCCTAATTATTAATTTTTAGATTATCATTTAAAAAAAGGAATCTTGTGGATTATACTGAACATATTTCTATTTATTTTATGAGTAAGGCGATTACGGCCGATACGTTAAGAGATGATGAGGAATATGAAGAAATACTTGAAGACATGAGGGAAGAATGTAGCAAGTTTGGTATGTATGCACACCATGTTTTTATATGTCTCAATGAATTATTTTTGTATTGTTCCCTGGTGGAAATAATTATTCCTTAATTTTATCAAACACTTGAAAATAATCATCTTATGCGAATTATACTACATGCTCTTTATTAGATTTTGAATGCTCAAATGTTGGAAAATCTGTATGGACGTGGTTGTGAGAATCTGTAGGGACATAGGTCGAGGGTCTCTATACGAACACCAATTTTCTCCTTCCTGCTTGGGCCCCCGGCGAGTGTTGAGAGGCTATGGTGCTTTCTTAGATCAGAAAATATTTGATCATAGAAAGCAAGACTTTTGACATTGATTTGCGGGAAAGAAAGCGGAAGGCATCGAGGTGAGTGAAAATAGGAGAGGATTTAGGTTGACCATCACGTTCTGGGAGGATGAGGTCGAGTGGCTGTTGGGTGCTTTGTAGAAGTTTTATTGGATGAGATGAGGAGACCTCTGGAGGTGGAATATTGCAGGCAGAAACCAGAATCTTTGGGTGGCCATGGAGGGCAACAACTAGGGTAAGTTTTTTGGTCATTATAGAGAATAAAGGGGAGGAATCTAGACGCATCTTCATTTTAGGAAGGTCCACAGGCTGGATGGTGGTGAGGATGATGGTGGTGTTGTTTAGAATGGTTGGAAGGAAGTTTGATGAGCTTGGACGACCAAAGGTGCTAAAACTGAGCACCCAGAAGAAGCAACATTTTCGGTGGTGGTTCCCAACACCATTCCTAGAACACTGCGCGTGCTTGAGATGTAAGGTGGAGTTGATTATGAGGATGGAGGTTAGGGGAGAGAGGAACTTTGCTGTAATGGTGGAGGGGAGGAGAGAGGGGAGTTGGATAGGGAAAAAGGACCCAATTTTAAGATGGGTTCGGTGAAATTTAAAATTCTTCGAAAAGCAAAGAAGCTGCATTGTTTTGGAGGAGATAGGGCGCTGAAGGGGCCTTGGCTTAAGGAGACCAATAGCGAGGTGAAGGCTGGTAAGAAGCTGAAATTTAGTTGGCCCGAGAAAGGGAAATGAATAAAACAGAGCAAGATCGGGCCCGTGCATGAATGGTGACCTGTTGCGAGGAAAATAAAAAACCCAATTCGAATATTAGGGAGAAGGTAAAGAACCTTGAATAGTGAGAGGATGGGATTTGCAATGGTGGATCCCAAGACAGATTCTGCTGACAGGAAAGGCAACGGAGAAAGGGGGAGTGTAGTAGAATGGGAGAGGAAGAAGAAAGGGCGGAAGAAATGGCGTTGGAAGTGGAAGAAGGGGAGCTATGCATGAACCAGCTAAGAAGGCCGGTGGGGCCTCTATTTTGCTGTTGGCAGTGGTTCTGGCAACAAAATTGGTGTTGCTAAGCAGTCTGGGGGTGGAGAGATTACTGAGGTGCAAGATGCTACGACTATTGCTGAGAATGGGAATGGAGAGATCGGGGGAGGGCTGCGTGTAGAAGACAAGTCTAGATGGGTCCTGAAAACATACAACAGATTAGTAAAATGCTTGTTATCAGTTTTGAAGAACTCGAGGAACAGGGCATGATGCT